CTCCCTTCCAATCTCTCTCTAAAAAAAAAAATCAATGGAAAAGCAATCCTCTGGTGAGGATTAACAACAACAAAAATGTGCACACCTTTGACCTCATCATCCCCACTTCAGGAAACTGAATATCCTACGGCTATAATCGTAGATGTGTGCAGAGATTTAGTTTAAAAGATATTCATCAGTGCTCGCTTCAGCAGCACATATACTAAAACTGGGACGATATTCATCAGAGTGGCTGATTACATGAAAACATTGAAAACCCGCAGATATCCAACAATAGAGGGTGGGCAAAGAAAACGGATTCATCTGCAAGATGGAAAACCCTTTAGCTATTAAAAATGACTGTGAAGGAATATCTGCTAATGTGGGCAACTGTTAGGTAATACAGGCATTTCAAAATGCTGTATCATTAAAACACTTTATATGCACAGCAAAAATATGCATACACACACACACACACACACACACACACACACACACACTGACATGAGACACAGCGTCTTACCCTGTGGGCAGTAAACCTAAGAAGGTGCCGGCCCAGCAGAAGCAGGTTTGTATACGTGGGTTTAGGAGGTTATACACGATCTTGGATTGTGGACCCATGGGGGTGATGGGGAACCAGGGGGGCTTAGAGTCTGGCCACGTGCCTAACCTTATCTGCCTCCTGTCACCTTGGTCAGGAAGAGAACTTGGGCGGGGACAGGGGGGACACCAGAGCACTCTGGCATTCTTCGATGCAGACATCCTCCTATAGGGTCTCGGCCAAACCAGGTCTCCTTTCCTCAGCGTTTCTCTCCCGCACCCCTGGCAGCCGTGTGGGCAGCTACTAGAATCCCCTTTGGAAGGAAGTTGGTATCCTTTGGGCCAACTGATCTCCTTTCTAAGCCCTGGCCTCTCCCCCTGAGAACTGGGGCATGAGCAGTGGACTGGGGAGAACTCATCCGGATATGAATGAGGTGTGTGTTTTCTACCTTAACAGCAATAAATCATTTTTTACTTTCACGCAGTGACAGAACAAACAGAGGCTGACTTATGCTCCTCATTTAACACAGCTGGTTTCATCCACTGGCTTGCCTTGGGATCGATCCGTCCAGGTTTCTGACAGCTATAAAATACTTCTTCCTCTTGGTCCTCGGGGGATGACGTGGGACACTCTGTGTGGGGACTGGGGTGAGGACTGGAAGGACACCTTCGATCCCCCCTCTCCCAACTCCTCCCCAGGCTCCCCAGCTCCCACCAAGGCCTGGAGTCCATGGCTCCATCCACATGCGGTGTGAACGCCAACAGAATGTAAAGAAATGGCTTTTCCCTCAGAAATGACACGTCTGAATGAAATCATCCCCTCAAAAGTGGTCACTCGAGGAAGTTGTTTATTATACTTTTACAAATGCATGTTCTTCCCTTCACAGCTATCATCCAGGGAGCTTGGCGTTATCCCAGTTGCCAACTCTGTTCGGAGGATGCTGCCATTGCTCAAATGATTTTGGAATTCCTTAGAAACTGCTCCCTGTGTCCGCTTACTTTTGTGACTTCAGTCTTGTCACACTGTATTTTGGACCCAGGATGATCTTATCTGGGTTAATCTAGCTTATTCACTGGTCTTGCCTCTAATGTAACTATGGCTGTTTTTCAAAAATCAAATCTTCCCTTCATAGATATGCAAGCTCTGAGGGGGGGTGTGTTCTGGAAAGCCGCCCGGCATCTTCAGGAGAAAGCCTCAGAGTGGGCAACCCGCTCCCCAAGCTGACAGCTATGGAAGGAAGAATGCTAATTTCAAAGTTATTATTGAGGCTTATTGACTATGCAATTCATTCCGTCAACAATATTTATTGAGAGCCCATTCTGTGACAGACACTGTTCTAGGGGCTGGAGATAAAGCAGTGGAGGAAACAGATAAACACCTCTACCGTGGAGCTTACAGTCACGTGGGGGGAGAGGACCACAGAACTACCTGGCCAGGTGTGTGCCAGGTAATGGTGAGGGGACAGAGGAAAACGAAGCAGGAGTGCTGGGGACGGGTGTTCAGGGGAGGGGTCCCTGTGTAGACATTTGAGCAAGACCTGAAGGAGGTGAGGAAATGTG